GCTCTGGCCCGGGCGCTGGGCCCCAGCCTGTATAAATGACGAGCAACTGCAGTGGCAGCCGGAGCCGAAGGAAACCGTAGACCGTGCCACAAAACACCCAGGAGTCAGCCCATACGTGCCTTCGATGCAGGACGGAACATCAGTGGCCATTTTTTGGGCAATACGGTCCTTGACCTCAGCCCCCTGCGAGGAAGGGAGCCGGTGGAGCTGTGATTAGCGTTTGCTGCTTGCTCGGATGCTTGCTTCAGCTCTGAGCGTCGGACCAGAGCTTGGGGGGGGGGGGGGCTTCGTACTTGTTTGGCGGGGCACCAGTGGCCATTTTTTGGGCAATACGGTCCTTGACCTCAGCCCCCTGCGAGGAAGGGAGCCGGTGGAGCTGTGATTAGCGTTTGCTGCTTGCTCGGATGCTTGCTTCAGCTCTGAGCGTCGGACCAGAGCTTGGGGGGGTGGGGGGATTAGTACTTGTTTGCTCGGTGCAGGGTTTGGGTAGACTTGTAAGCATGGCTCCGAGCCACGCAATCGGCCGTTGGGAGCACTGAGAGGGTGGACTTTGGTGCCCGTTCCCGGAGTGGTGCTGGCTTCTGTGGAACGGGGCCAAGGGACTGTGGGAATCACAGGGAGCACAGGCTTGTTCAAGCAGTTGCTTAAATACTCGGCGCTTTATAACCTCTCTCTCATTAGGGCTTGTTTTTTTTTGGGGGGGGATGGCTGAATTCTGTAGGATTTTGCATGCCACTGTCTTCCGAGAGCTTCCCAGTCATGCATTAAGCAGCGTGACTAACGCCTCTCTCATGTGGTTCAGTCTCTCTCACTCTCTCCCCGTAGGGAGAATTGTGTATGTGGAGGAATAGTTGTTTTGGGAGGGGTTTTTATTTTTAAGTGCTCTGTGCTCTGCCAGCAGGTTGGAAAAAGGTGCCTGGCGCTGGAGAAGAAAGTGTGGGATGGTGCTTAGATCCCATGGGAAAATAGCCCGATGCCTTGGACTGGCCCCTGAGAAGCCTCCATCTCCTGCACAGACGTGCTTTTCCCCGGTGGTGGAGGCTTCCGCCTCCTCCTCCTCCTCCTCACACCCAGCTCTGGGCTCTCACGTCTGCGCTGTGTCATTCGCACCCTTAGGCGCTGAGCAGGATTCCTTACCCCGGTGAACCCGGGCCCCTCACGCCTGCTGGCAGTCCCTCGTGGGGCGAAGGTCCCACTCAGGTTCCCAGCCCCACTCCTGCTCCAGACTCCCTGCTTTGGAGGGTTCCATCACCTGTGGGAACGGGGCTTGGGTTCAGGTTCCAGCCCCTTTTTCACAGAATCACAGAATGGTAGGGGTTGGAAGGGACCTCTGTGGGTCATCCAGTCCAACCCTCCTGCCAAAGCAGAAAGCATGAGTGCTGGGTACCTTTGGGTGATTCCCATCCTCTTCCAGGTTGGTACAGGGCTCCTGGCCTTTCCAGCTCCTTGGGCCCTCCCTCGTCTCAGTCAGAGCCATGTGAGGCATCGC